GCAAATGAGCACAGCTCATCTGCGTAATCTGAAGGAGCTTCTCCCTCTATTCACCTAAATGAAGTGTCACCTTGCTCACTGTCCAAAAGCACTCTCACGCTCCCGGCTCTATTCAAAACAACAGCGTTCATGAATCTGTCAGATAATAGAAAATGCACTAAAACACCCTCTCTGTAATGGCAGTGTTAATGACTGATTTTGACAGCATTTATTCAATGAAACTAATGTGTTTCTTTGATGTTTTTGTTGACACATCTTCACTGTGCAGGGTAGTTTTGTTGTGTTAGAGTCATTGCAGCAACATAACGATTTAGGTTAGGCCTCGTTTAAGATTGCGTAAGGGAAAAAATGTGCAAGAAGCAACATCAATCATCATATTTGAATATCACAGCTGGAATGATAATACACTGGCAATGACATCTGACATCCATTGTTTCCAGGATCCTATGCAGGAGCAGTGATCGCCATGCCTTTAGCCGGAGTGCTCGTTCAGTACGTCGGCTGGTCTTCGGTCTTCTATGTTTATGGTAAGGCTGATGTTTGATCAATGTAAGAGTAAGTAAAAAATAAGAAATGCTTCAGAAATGCTTGAAGAAAAAGAAAGTACCTCCTCTGGTTTAAGGTTTTTACACATAAAAAACCCCATCATGTAGCACTACAGAAACAGTGTGTGAAAAACAAAAAACTAATCAGTGGGTAAGTAGCTGCCAGCGCTCGATTAACTGATGCTTTGGCACTGTGCTGGTCTGGAGCATTCAGGTGTGTGTTTTCACACAACGCCAAGGAGGAAAGCAATCAGCAGCAGCTCACCCTGTCTAAAAGTTGTAAAAATCAGACTTTGGAGCTGCCAGATTGTTACTTTATATCGAACAGAATCTAAAATCTAAAAATCTATTAATTAATGTTAATGTGTGAACATGATTCACTGCAAACTCAAATGAAAATTAGAAAGTCTTCATTATTAAATGGTTACCAATATTCATAGGTAGATTATTAGAGCAGATGAAAGGTGTGACAATAGTAATGTGCTGTTAGACATTATTAGGTCTATATGAATTAAATGAATGGCTGGATAGACTGTAAATGAAATGTTGAAAGCACAACTTAATGTCACGAAAAGTGGCTTTAATCATCCTCGACTGTCACGCTGTTCTCTGGCGTTTTCATGCTTTGCACAATAAGCCTTATCTGCTCTGCTTTTGAGTTTGATTGGAATGATTAGCACTCACATTAAATTCACACTTTGGCAAACGTGTTTTAATAAAAGAGCTACTCTGGTTCTGATGTGATACCATCTCATGATTTATTGATGTAAATTAACATTTTCCTGTCTGGGCTGTATGTCTCACACTTGTTTCACTTTTTAATAATGAGAAATTCTTGTGGTCCAAATGAGGTCTGGACTTGGAGTAATTAATCTGTCCTGCCCTCAAGCTACTCTTTCATACTTTACAAAGTCTTTGACTGCCAAGATAAGCTTCTCTAAGGGTACATGTGTACGAATGCGTGAATTCACCTGTTGCCACTGTTGTTTTGTGAAAAGGTGTTTTTGGGATATTATGGTACACGCTGTGGCTCCTGCTAGCTTATGGAAGTCCTGCTGACCATCCTACAATCACAGACGAAGAGAGGACATACATAGAGTCCACCATCGGTGAAACAATGCACAAACTGAGTGTAACCGAGGTGTGTCTACTGCATCTATATTGACACACACATCCACACACAACAGAATGGCTGAACCCTATTAATTAAAGCTGAAACTCTGAATTTTGATCACATCTTGTTTGATTTAAAATCCAACGTGGTGGTGCACAAAGGAGAAACTACAAAAGCTGTATCAGTGTCCAAAAATTTAGTGAACTAACCGTCCATAAACAGTACACACTGACTCCTCTTCTCCGGTTATAGAAATTCAAAACTCCGTGGCGTCGCTTTTTCACCTCCATGCCTGTCTATGCGATCATTGTTGCCAACTTCTGCCGGAGCTGGACCTTCTACCTGCTTCTCATCAGCCAGCCAGCATATTTTGAGGAAGTATTTGGATTCCCCATCAGCAAGGTTGGCCTCACAATAACAGCCACAGTTACAGAAAATGTCCACAAAGACCCATTCAATATTTCTTAGGTTCAAAATATTCTAACCTTTATTACGTACAGGTGGGGATCCTGTCTGCTGTCCCCCACATGGTGATGACAATTGTTGTTCCTATTGGAGGACAGCTGGCTGACTTCTTACGCAGCAACAAAATCATGTCTACCACTAACGTGAGGAAACTCATGAACTGTGGAGGTACATCAGTGTAAACACATCGTTTTTCTGTTAATCCCAACGATCTGACTTTGGCATTTTGTACTAAACACAAAAATAACATAGAAGAAAGTCATTTTCTGTAATGATTTACTGTTTGGTCATTCCTACATTTTTGAACCTTGTAAAGCCTGAAATATTTTTTTGAAAATGCCAGAAAATTCACTTTTAAAAAAAGAAAGAAAAAAAGTGAATTTAAACAAATATTTAAACATATTTGTTTAAAAAAGTAATTTTCATACATGACTTTTAATTTGCACCATATTTGCTGGCATTTAAAAACAAAACAAAACATTGCTTAAAAATGTATCATGCAATTTGTTTAGGTTTTTTTCAGGGGCAAAAAAGCCAACACGTATAAAACACGTATGGTGGTCTTGTTAAGCACTGTGAATAATATTAATATAAAATAATTATATTACAAATAAAACATTGTGCACGCTAGATCCAGGACTGATCCAACTTTTAAAATTGTTAGCCTATAAGACTGCAACAATGTGAGTAAATTACTGGAAAAAAAAATAGTATGAAAAAGCATTTAATTACTAGTTCCTTTCATTTTGATTTAAGAAAGCAACTAACATACCCTTTAGACCACCGTATGCCAAACATGTTTCTATATTTTCCAGTATATCTACTTGAATGGTGTCACTGGCATTCCCTCTAGCATTCCCATTTTTTTCCATTAGGTCAGTAGGTTGGGAAGCTGGGGATACATTTCTTACAAAGACCTGGTGTTGTCTAGTACATAATGTGATTAATTAATAAAGAACGTTTTCTCACAGGGTTCGGTATGGAAGCTACTCTACTGTTGGTGGTCGGGTTTTCTCACACTCGAGGTGTCGCCATCTCCTTCCTTGTGTTGGCTGTAGGCTTTAGTGGATTTGCCATCTCAGGTATTTGACGTTTAGTGTTTTGCTTTCAATTTAAGACTTTGAGCTTGACTGCATAAATGATAAAGGTGCAGAAAGGTGTGCAGGATGTTGCAGATCTTTATTTGTCTTGTGTTTTATATTGCTTTTTCTAGATTCTGAAAGACCTTTCAAAAACTTATTACATCTTTACCAGCCACAGCAAGAAAGCTGGTATTGTTTTTACCTTGTGATCATATCTGTTAACAGATATGGTCAATTTAATAGCAGTAAAACAAAACAAGCATGCACGATAAACCTTAGAGATTTATGGCTGGGGTCAAAATAAAGCTTTAAAGATTTGTGTTTTTTGACCAATAATGTGAGTCTGAAGGAGGTTTAGGCACACAAAGTATTCAAATGCCGTAAAAATGAAAATTTGTGTTATAAGTATGTTTACACTGTGTGCACTGTCTTGTCAGGTTTCAATGTCAATCATCTGGATATTGCTCCTCGCTACGCCAGCATCCTGATGGGTATTTCCAATGGGGTGGGAACGCTGTCTGGAATGGTGTGCCCGCTAATTGTTGGCGCTATGACTAAACACAAGGTATTTTTCCCTCCTATAACAATATAGTTTTTGTTTTTCTTTGTCTCCTATTCTAAAATATATACACAGAACATTACAGGACGCACTGACATGTTTCTTCCCATTTCGTATATAAATAATATGAGGAATGAGTGTCTTGTGGCTCATTGAATTGCTGTATGTAATCTTGCACCTATCAAAGGATACTGTTAAAAATTTATGGCAATGTTAAATTTATTATACACATTGCAACTGTAGGACTTTCAGTGCCATGAGTAAGGGAGCTGATTTACAGCATTACCTCAGTGGTACATCAGTGAAATATCAGTAATTCTTCCTCTGACAGAAAATTCATTGACTCTCTTCATCTCCCTACAGACTCGTCTGGAGTGGCAGAATGTCTTTGTTATTGCAGCCATGGTGCATTACTCAGGGGTCATCTTTTACGCTATCTTCGCTTCAGGAGAGCAGCAGGAATGGGCCAACCCTGAGAGCACAAGTGAGGATAAATGTGGCATTATTGATGAGGACGAGCTGGCTGAGGAGTCAGAGCTCACTTGCGAGAACACGGTGGCTCCCAAAAAGACTTACGGAACAACAGACAATTCGTCCGGTCGAAAACAGGGCTGGAAAAAGAAGAGAGGAGTTACCATGCAAGAGGAGGAGGAGCATTATGAGAACGGGGACTACCAGGAGCGGTACCAGTGAGACAGCACGAGGGACAAAGGACTTAAATTTTACAAAACTGATCTGTGTCAGAAGCAGCAGCATCATATGTACCTCAAGACACCATCCTCTTTTTTTCATCCTCGGTCAGCACATCCATTCAACTGTGATATATGAAGATTCATTTAAAAAGAAATTTGCAAACTGCTAAACTAAAACTTTTTTAAAATCTCAAACCAGCTGATACAAAATGAACCATCAATAAATATCTGCTGATAAAGTGACTCTGTCATGACATGTATTATAAAATAATAAGCTTAGTAAACCATAGAAACCACAGATCAAAACCAATGGCTCAACTAGTGCTGTGTTAAAGGAACATTAAATACACATATCAGCTTCTACCCCTCCTGCACCCTGTCCCGATCCCTTCCTTGCAAATCCATCTGTGCAAACCATGACTCAGCTTATGTAGCTTACTTTGATATGTGAAGGGTTTTGTGTCAGCTATGCAATGTGAAAAGAGGCGCACTGCCAGAATGTATCGATGGGTTTGACAGAAGATCATAGTTAATGTACCGAGTCTCACTGTTTTTGTTGCTTGTATGTATTTGCTGTTGCTGAATGACTGCACCCTGTCACCGCTTTACTCGCTCTCTTTGTCTGAAGCAGTCTTAGTTCACCATCTGTTTGTGATGCACTAATATATCAGCTTCATTATTTATGGAGCTCTGAGCTCATAATGGGACAAAATAGGTGGTGAGTTCAGTTTCGTGACATTGTTCTTCTGATGTTTTAGCTTTTTGCAGTTTCTCAGTGTTTGATAAATGGAGACCCAAGTTTGTTTCTAACAATGTGCAGTAAGAATTCACTTTAATCCTAAAACTATATGGAACATTTGCACTTGCTGTTCATCATTATTACTCCTAAAAGAGAAAAAAAAAACCTGTTTTGTATAGTAAATGATTATCTTATTATTTGAGAGAATACACGTCATTCACACACAAACAGACCTGACATGCAATAAACTACATTTCTATTCAGTGTTGAGATTACTGTATATGCAAAAATAGCATGAATTTCTTTAACATTTCATGATACTTGCATGCATTCATACTAAACATAAAAATGTTGAACACCCTAGCCAACATAGTGGTAATACAGTCTATAAGGATGATTAGCCAAGCTAGCTAAATGTTGACAGTACATTGTATATATAAAAAGAAATGGGCATAGCTAATATGAGATCACCCATTGGCTTGTAGACAACTTTTCAAACCTTTGGCTTGGCTGTGACAAAACCAGAAGTATGTGTTTACACAAAAGGGTGGAGAGCTAAGTTATCAGTTAATGCTACCTAGCTGTAGTGGTACCTGCTAATTACTACAAGCTAACCTTTCTTGCATGCTGGAAGCTGGCAGTCATTCCGGATTCCCTAGGTAACTCTCTAATTTATTTACTATCAGGTCAATTTAATTCAGTTAAATTTAGTCCAATGTATATAGTGTCAACTCACAACAACAGACATTCCAAGGTGCTAAATATAGTAGGTAAATCAACAATATTCATCATTATTATAAGATAGTTATAAAAATGAAGGCAGTTTCAATGGCGTGCCTGGAAATGCCAGCAGTTTGTCTACCCTTAGTCACTTGATGTCATGGAAAGTCTTTCCCTTTCTCAGATAATTGCATTAAAACACAATAACACTGCAAACACAGACAAGGAATCAAATTTAGCTACTTGAATTTGCTGAAGTTTAGTTTCAGATTAAATTAAAACAAAACAAACATACTATCAGTATGTTTGTTTTTAATAAATCTAGGCATTTTAACATTGTTTGTTTTTTCTTTTTTTTTAAAAAAACCTAAAACACTTTAAAAATGTAATGAATCACAAATTAACCAGAGAGGGACTTGAAACTAAAAATATTTTACATTTTAATCACAACACAACTGGTAGTGGCACTCGAGGGAAAGTGATGTAATCACCAAAGTCAACAGACTACTTGGAAGTGCTGATAGTAGATAATACCCAAACATATTTTTGCCTCTTTTAACTTCATGTTAACTCTATATCATTAGGTTTAGTTCAATTTGTGTCTACCCAGCTCCTTGACTAATTATTCTTTAATTATTATCATTAGCAAAGTGTGCTGTCTCTGTATTTTGATTCTCATTTTTTGACAGAATATGCTGTTCCTTATGGTGCTCGCTTATGTCAGCTTGCTCAAATGAGACATTTTTGAGTATCCCTAAGATGGGTCTGCGTTCCATCTCACTGTAAACATCCTTTGTCTTATCTCTCCGCCTGCTTTATTTACACCCCCAAAACATAATTGCTGGACAGGATGTTCATTGCCAGCATGTTACCCTCTCTTGTACGAGCTATTCCCCCTTTTATAACACTTAATTAATGCTATGTGTGATTTGCCTTCAAAAAGTCCAATGATTATTACCTTTCACATGGTGATAAGACATTTCAAGGACTGTGGACTTTGTTGCTGGTCAGCTGTACAGGGATCCAAAGCGCTGGTGAATATGCGGCCTGTTATGTCACGTATGACACCAAGGTGTGCCTCTGTTACATTAGGAAATGACAAAGCCTAATATCTGTTGGAGATTGGCATATTATAAACTCTAATTATTTTAAAGTAACATTGCCCATACTTATAAGAGCTCTGAATATTACAGACATATGCAACTTCTGTTTAGTGGAGTTATTTCCATCCATTTACAGTCATAGCTGCTGGCTCATTCTTCACATGCTCTTAAACACAGAGCAGATAGTCCACAAACAGTCAGCAGCCAATGGCAAAGGTTCTGTTTATTTCAAAGAGACTGTCTGTTGACTCAGAAGGGCCTCTTTGGATGGAGCAACAACCCATCAATGATTAAACTTGTTTTGGGGAAAACTAAGAATTATAAAGAGAAGAAAATTTTCCAGTGTGCATGCTCGTCTTAGAATGTACACAGACAATAGGGCAGGTACCCTGGGGTCTGCGGAGTGCCAAAACAAACAAATCTGGTACTGCATACTCCAATGACATGATAAAATGGGTAGAATCAGTTCAAGGACTTTTCCATGGAGTTTTCCATTATACCTCAATTTTTTTTGCACTCATGAAAATATTGTAAAGGAAAGCAAACATATCCCACAAAATCCACAGCTCTCCCCGGCTTTCATTATTACAAGTAAACTGTTAGATGATATTAACAGACATGGCTTATACTCGGCCGGCTCCCACTCATACCAGTTTTTGTGTCATGCTAATGACTGGATATGGCTCCATGTGTGTGATGTTTGTGTATGTGGGTGGGAATTCATGCGGTAGCCTGTTGTCTTATTCAGATAAAGAGGGATTTGGCTTGGATAGGGAGGAGGGTTAATTAATAACCACCATCCATTTCTCCCTGACCCCAACTTAGTCACACATGGTCTCACTGATGTCCAGGCACCAGCAGCTTAATGTTCATTAGAAAGTATTGATGGAGTTGTAGCTCACAGTGTGGATATTCCCCCCTCCCAAACCAAAAAAAAAAGAAAAAGAAAAAGAAAAGAAAAAGTCACAGGAAGGAAAAATTCAGCAAGAAGGAACTCAACCTCAGCTGCCAAAGAGAAGGTAAGAATTGTGAGATTGAGAACGAACATATTTCTAATTTACTGGTGACTTATTATTAAGGCTGTGGTGTGGCATTGTTTGAAGATTTGGTTGAAGTGTGGGCAGTGGGTTTCTGAATTCTTGTGGGTAGCTTTAGACTCAAGGGAAATTACACCTAGTTAATTAAAAATGTGGCTGGTGAGGTCTATAAAAGTCATGTCTCACATGGGAACATATTTTGTGCCTAGCAGCAGAAAGGCCTCTGACACATTTGAGAACTGGTATTAAGATATTGTACGCGATGCTTTCAATCTCCTCAGCTGTCCAGATTTTAATATAAGATTTAATAAGCAGTGCTTTTTACTAACAAGTGAGGCCTCCATATGATATGTTCAGTGAAATCAAATTAACAAAGACAATGATCTTGTCATACTAATGACACAGTCTTACATGAATCTGTAACGGGACAGGCAATAACAAAGAGAAAGAACAGACTTCTTTCCATGACTTGGTCTTCCTGCGGCAGTCTGGTCATCTGACCTTCATCCTCCACCTCTCTGTAGGGAAGTACCAAACATCTCTTCCCAGCGTGGGAGAGACCTGTCAGGTGCAATGATGTGGAGACTCCCAAGATGATTTTTAATTCCAGTGGGGCGCAGATGTCTAAGGGACTTGCGTTGCTTCATCGCGGTTGACAAATCACTTTTTCATGCTTATCACAGAGCTCACCAAATTCAAAGCGTGTGACTGCTTTCCAGCTCAGTCCAACCTGTGTTTTCTGAGGCGGTGACAGACAACGCTCCTGAATGAATGAGTGGATGGGCCCCGACATCAATGTGGTGGGACCACTGCAGCTCCCACCCAACGATGAATTCTCCATCTTAGAGAGTTCCCACTTTTATGGTAAGTTTACAGAAAGACAAAATCAAAACTGAGCAAGTGACAACATTCGCATACTAATTTATTTGCAATTATAATCAGTACAAGCATGGGGAAATCATCTCTGCATTTAACTTGTACTAGTGTTTAGAACAATAAAACAAAAAATCATATATAAAAGATGGCTGTAGCCACCCTGGCATCACCCATGCACAGGTCTGTGAACTATTCTGAAGCTTGAAATTGTTGCAGGTTTGATTTTAGGAGCTACAAGTGATCAAGTTTGTATGAGAGGAGAGCAGTGCTGAATTCCAGTTCTAACAGTAGAAAGGTTATTTGTCAGGCTGCATTGACAGACTCATTGAGTGCAGTTTAAAGACGGGGATCCCTGCTAATTAGTGCTAAGTAACAAGAGAAATAGTAGGATATCACTCAAGCTAAGTTGTAGTAAAGACAACGTTGGAGTAAATACACATTAATAGATGAGTCATGCATGCACCATAAAAACCCAGTCTTAGCCTTAACCTTCACCCTACTCTTTAGCACATTTTTAGAACAGAAGTTTCTGTACAGGTTTTTATGTACAGATGAAGGAGCCATGAGTGCAGACAGTACAAACACAACCATGAGTATCAGTGAACTGATTTAACCAAAGCGAAGCTTAGCAAATAGCTATCACTATGTGGGCTCTCAGCCACTAGTCAGGGTTTCAGCAAGAAGTGAATATTAGACCTTTTGCAAAGATATAATTTATTGATGATTTATTACTAATTCACAGTGACCTGTAAACAAACAGATACATTTAATAGTTTGAGGCTACTTCGTGACATTTTTCTGTCACAATAGTCAGTTATCTGCCAGTGACTAAGGATCTGTAACAACTCTGAGTGAGTGGCAACAGAACGCCAATCTTCCACTAACAAGCTGAACAAAATTATTTTTTTAAGGTAAAAAGTACACTCTGCACACCTGCTATCATCACCTACTTTAGAAATCAGATCTTAATTTTGAATGATAATATCAACTAACAATAGGTGACTCTCATCCAGCACCTGTAAAGCATTTATGGATGCTCAAATTCCTCCGAACAATTGCATGAGCCGGATCTGACCTGTCCACAAATTCAAGCTCACTGAACAGTAGCAGTCAGCTTGTACCTGTGTCCACATCTGGAAATGACTTCTGATATCAGCTGGCTACTTGTAGCAGTGTGAAGAAATGTGACTATGCGGTTAATAAGTAGCTGTGACAACCTTTGTTCTTTCTGGGAATACTCAAG